TTATTTTTAATCCTTAGTTTCAAATTGGTTTTATGGCAAAAGTTACCATCATAGTTACAAACCAATCGCAAGACATCAGTTGTCCCTCACTTGAGGATATCACTCCAAGATTCTGTTTTGATCATCACAAAACTGAACAGGCTCATCTTGCATATCTTTGTGACATGGTATTCTGAGCTGCAACTCTTCTTTTAACTTCCATGTAACATTTACTTAAGATTTTGCAATTCAAAACATGGGCAAGGTATTGCCATTCTAATTGATGGCAGTCTCCTCCTAATCATTAGATGGCTATGTTGCCATGCTTCAGAGTTCGAGTGTTTTGTCTCTTTCTGTTCCTAGAATGCTGGTGATTTGAGAACTGCGGGAGCAGGGGGGAGAAGTGTTTTTTGGCCTTCTGAGCATCCTGTCCAGATACTAAGCAAGATTTGTAGCAGTTATACCCAAGTGTCTATAGAGTCAGCTTAAGGATTGTTTGCTTGTAGAATTTGATGTTTCTGATTCCTTTTAAGAATCATGATTTTCTTGCTGTTTACATTTGCCATATTTTGACACTAATGTGTACAAGTGACAAAAAATGAAAATGTAAGCTCAAAGCAAGTAATTGTAGTCTAACCATGGTTTTAGTTTTTCTTTGCTCAGCAGTGTTTGTGGTATCCCAAGATTGAAGTATCTAATGATTTGGGAAAGTTCAGAAAGCTAGCAAATTCTGCTTTGTCTGAAGGCTTAAAAAGTAATGTATCCATTCCATGCTGATAATCTATTATTAAATGGTAGTCTGTACAATGGGTTAATGTTGACAATTTCTCTGTACTTGAATGATAATTCCTTGGGAATGCTGTGCTTTTCTGAAATTAATTAAAAACTTATTTCTAAATGTTGTCAGGGTACACTTGACATTCAACTGAAAAGTCCTGACTGACATTTTGGAGGGGCTACGGCTTGGAGAGCCAAAGGAGCAGGAAATCATGATTGTGATTTTACATAATGCATTTCATGACCACAGGAGTACTTTGCAGCCAATGAAACATTTTGAGGTGTAATCGCTGTTACGCAAGAAGTGCATTTGCCTCTTTGTGCACAACAAACTGTAAACAGCAATATGATAATGACCAAATCAATTGTTTGTGACATTTATCCTGCAAGTCACCATTCTCCAGGTAAGTGGAGAAACTAATTCCTGCTCTTCAGAAATCTGTCTTTGCTGAAGGAGTTTGTGGGTCTCTAATTTTAACGTACTTTGAAAAGAGAGCACATCAACGTAGCATTCCCTGAAGACTGGACTGGCAGCCTGGATTGTTCTCAAGTGAAATATGACCTCAACTATGTGGCTCAGGCTAAATGTTTTTTTTTTGTAATAAGAGTATGAGAGTTTGAACCTGACACTAGTTAAATATCACCTAAGCATCCAGACATGAAGCTCTTATGACAGAGGCAGGAATACTGCACTGGACCATGAGGCCTGCATTCATATCCCACTTGCTCCAGGGATCTCATAATATCTATGAACAGGTTGTTTAGGAAATATCCAACCATCCAGGCAAGTGGGCAGAGGGACCATTCGGGTGGACATGTAGCCTTATTGTGGAGGATGAAAGAGTCTTTAACTTAAAATACACCTTTTTTTTTATTTTGCTGAAATTTTGAGTTGAAGTGTTGAAGTTGAGGGACACCCCTTGTAGCTGTGGGTGACTCTGCGTCATTCTGGATGACTATCAGTTTCCCTAGATTGAGGCCCTTCTTCCTTCTCAATGTTCAGTATATTGTAATGTGCATGTTTTGTAATGTTACAATTCCTGATTACCAAACCTCACCCAAATAACTCTAGTCCTCACATGCAAATGTTTCTATTGTGTAGTGTAGCTCAAAATATTGAGTACCCTCTCAATCAAGATTGTACTTCTAAACAAGACCACAAGTTTATTTGCGGTTGGAGTGTCCTGGACATGCTTGTCGTTTCAAACAAAATTGTGTGCACTGCCTGTACTATAAGTTATCTAGGTGTACAAGGTCTTTTATACCATTACATAAATTGCTATAAATATGTCTGTTTGGGCTCCACAAAATATACAAAGAATTTTTTTTTTTGAGATTTGGGCATTGTTGGTAAGGCTGCCATGTTTGCCGATTCCTAATTGTCTTGAGCTGAGAATCTTCCTAGATGATTTGAGGCAGTTGAGCGTCAACTGAATTGCTGTGGGTCTGGAGTCGCATGTAGGCTAGACTAGGTAAGGATGGCAGATTTCCTACCCTAAAGTAAATTGGTGAACAACATGGGTTTTAACAACAATAGATACTTCTGTGTCATGGTTAATTGGTCTAACTATATAAAAATAAGAATCTGGAGCTGGAATGGGCAATTCAACCCTTTTAGCCTGTTGCAGTAATCAATAAGATCATGGCTGATCCCACCTTGACCTCCACTCTTGTTTCCTACCTGCTAACCCTTCAACCCATTACTAATTTTAAAAATCTATATTCTTTGAATTTACTGTGTCCCAACATCACCACGCTCCCTGGGGTAGTGAATTTTACAGATTTACAAACCTTAGAGAAATAATTTCTTATCCCTTTTTAAAAATTGCCACCGCTCAACATTCAAACTATGGCCTCTCATTTTCAATTCCAAATGAATTGATTTTTAATTGCATTTAAACTGTAACATGATTTGGATTTGAATTCTTCCAAAATGTTAGATTGAGGCTTCACAAATAACCTCACCCTTGTTGATGGTGGAGCTCCGTACATCAGTGCCAAAGATAAGGCTGAAGTATCTATCTTAAGTCAGAATTGCCAAGTGGTTGATCCACCTCAGCTTCCTCTTGAGTTCCTCAGCATCATAGATGCCATACTTTAGATTCAACTTATTCTGCACGGTATCAAAAAACAGCTGAGGACACTGAATACTGCTAAAACTATAGGCCCTGACAACACCTGGCAATGCTACTGCAAAACTATTCCAAAATTAGCCTTGCTCCAACATAGCTGTTCTAGTGTAGTCACAACTCTGACATCTACCTGACAATGTGGAAAATAGCCCAAGTATGTCCTGTACACATACTACAAGGCCAATCCAAGCTAGCCAGTTATTGTCCTTATCAGTCTATTCTCGATCATCACTTCAACAGGGCTGTCATGTGGTCCTTGCAATAGAATAATCTGTTCACCGACCCTCCAGTTTGATATCAGCAAAGGCTGCTAGGCTCCTGATCTCCTTACAGTATTGGTCCAATCATGGACACAAGAACTGAACTCCAGAAGTGAGGTGGGAGTGCTTGATATCAAGGCAGTATTCATCAGGCACCAAGGAGTCCAAGCAAAACTGGAGTTGATGGCAATCGGGGTGGGGAATCTCTACTGTTTGAGTCATTGTGAACACTGAGAAAGATGGTTCTGGTTGTCTCAGCCACAGACCAAGTCAGGATAGTGTTCTAGGCTTGAATTGTCGTCAGCTACTTCGTTAGTGACCCACCCTCCATGTCAGAAGTGGGATGTTTGACTGCACAAAATGCACCATTTAACTCCTCGGATGAAGCCATCGTGTCATTATTCAGCAAGATCTCAACACCTCTGCTTGGGCTCATGGCAAGTAATATGACCATCTCTGACAAAAGCAAATCTATCCTTTTTTTTGCCTTTAGGGTCAGTTGTTTAACCTTTTTTGAATTCCCCACCATCAAATCCTTGGGAATACCATTTTACAAATACTGAACTGGACCATCTGAATACCTACTGTGGCTATAAGAACAAGTCCAAAGCTAGTAATTCTTTAGTTAGTAACTCATTACCTAACTTGCCACAGTTTGCACACAGTCTACAAATTTCAAGTCAGATGAGTGGAATACTGTACACTTGCTTGGATGTGTAGCTGCAGCAGTATTTCAAACTCAACACCATCTAGGATAAAGCTGCCTGATGAGTAGCCATGTACCATCTTCAGCATTCACTCCCCTGCGGCAGTGTGTACCATCTCAAAGATGCAGTGCAGAAATTCAGTTAGGCTCCTCGCAACAACTTCCAAACTTCACCTCTGCTACCTCGAAGGCAAGGGTAGCAGATGCATGGGAATGCCACCATCTTCAGTGTACCATTCAAACTGCTGTTTACTGTAATTCCTTCACTATTTACTGGGTGAAAATCCTGGAACTCTGACTTAAACTGTGTTGTTAGCATCCATACAATCCAAAGGTGGCAGTCATTCAAAAATACAGCTCACTATTGCTTCCTGCAGGGCATATTGGGATGGGCAGTAAGCTCTGAGCTAGGCAGTGACACTGCCGCCATCTTATGGAAAAAAATAAAAGGAAAATTGCATGGACCTCAGAATATCTAATCCAGTACATCACCATCTCCCCTGATTCTTATTCCTAGTGAGGTTCCTGTCAGTCTAAGTAACAACTCAGTAATGACATTTTGGCATCTGAGCTCGGTTTTACATTTAATGTCCCATTTTTCTTGGCTGTTATGACTAGCTGAAGCATTTGCCTGACCAAAACTCCTCCTGTTCAAATTTTTGATTTTCTGCTTATGTTATTTTGTTTTTAAAACTCCATTGTCTACTGCAGGCAGTTCCCGTTCCAGGCTATGCTGTGCCTTTTTAGCATGAACTGTATTCCACTTTGTAACTTCCTATCATGATTCCAGTTATATGATGATAATTAATTGTTAGATTTTTAAAAAAGAATTTAGAAGCAAATGTAATTATCAGAAAGCGTGATGTTCTAGTCAAATGCTAATACTTTCCAAAAAGCAAAATTACACTGGAATTTGGAATAGAGCCTGCTTGTATTTAACTGCATTTGCAATTCATTCTTAGTTGATAGAAAATAAAAATATCAGTGCTTTAGTGACACTACAATAAACTTGTATTTTGACATCACAACCTACTTAAATCTATTGACTTTTGATTTAACGCCAGGCAGCCTTGGCTTCATGCAGACTTAATGTATTTTTATGTAGTGTTTTTACAACTAGTTTGCCAGAATTATGTTAAACTGAAACTCCTGTACCTGTATTTATAGCCTGGAATCGTGTCACCATTTAAGCGTGTTTTCCTGAAAGGAGAGAAGGGACGTGATAAGAAGGCACAAGAAAAGGTTACAGAACGAAGACCATTGCATACAGTTACCCTGGCCTTGCCGGATCATAAAGTTGACCCAGAGATTCTGTTAAATGATTACATTGAAAAGGAAGTAAAGGTAGAACTGAAGATATAAAACTTTACCCTTTTTGCTAATCTTATAAGCTGGTACTTCTTTAATTTGCTATCCATTTTATATAAACCTGCGTAATACACCTATATATTATATTATGCTTTGGATGCATGTGTTGCCTTCTAAATTATTGCCACCCATTGTTCCTACGCATCCTGTTTTTGTGCACTGTTGCATGAGTGGATTTATTTTTGGGTGGGGCTGAGAAAGAGGAACCGTAGTTTATCTGGGTCTGCATCCAATTTATTAATTTTTTTTCTTTTTGAATTACTGAATGTTTTTTAATATAACAAGCAGTGTCTTATTTTTCTGTATGTCTTTTGCAATCAGAGCCTTTAGGCTTATTGGGTTTTATTTTTGAATTTGTCCTGTTGTATTTTCATTTGCTCTAGTGGCCATCATTCAAGTGTCTCTTATTTGCTGGCATTGCAGAGACTAATCACCCCTTTTTTAAACTCTTGAGCAGGAAGTTATTGACTCTTATTTTTACCAATGGCACTAGAATAAGGAAATGCAAATAAATCAGTGAGAGTAATCTAAACTTTTAAATAACTGAACTAACTCCTCAGATTTGAGGATGACCTGGTCTCCTTAGGCAGCTGCCTCAGTCACATTTTCTGGACTGAAGTGAGATTGCCTCTCAAAATTTCATCTCTCTCAACCAAAGATATGGTTTTGTGACTAAACTAAACCTGATTTGAATGAATGGGTGGTGGCAAAAGAAAAGCTTTGCATTTTTTTCAATTGGATATGCTTGAGGCGGAATATTAAGGAAAAAGTCAGCAGCAATATACCTGTACTCCTTTTATATTCAGCCTAAGTGAGCGTGCACAACTCTCAAAGGATGTCAGTATAGGAGTGTGGGACCAAACACTGTGGTCATTCAGTGCAGTGCTGGAGAATGGAAGTTAAGAGTAGATTAAAACAGGATCCAGTGTTAGGTAGAGGGTGCTTGAGTTGAAATTTAAACACAGGTCTAAAAGTATTTAAATGCCTGACAAATGGGAAGATAAAACTGTTGGGGAGCTTGAAGACTTTAACTACCTGACAGATTAGGATCTGGTGACAGAATTTCTTGGATGGGTTTCCACCTGATTAAAAAGGCATGTTCAATGACATAGTAGAGAACTAGGAGTCTGGAAGAATACAGCAAGCCAAGCAGCATGTGGAGGAAAGAAGGCAACATTTTGGGTATTTGCCCTTCAGGACCGGATGTGGAATGTGGAACAACACCTTTTGTCTTCCGTCTGGGCACTCTGCACCCTGGAGGACTTAACATTTGAGTTCTCTAATCTCGAATAACTGTCCTACCACCCCCCGGGCCCTTTTCCAGCCCCGCCTCCTCCCTTTCATTCTACCTACTGACCCTCCCTTCCATCTACCAACCGGGTCATACCTACTACTGGTGTCCACCTATCACCATCATTCTGTTATCCTCCTGCACTCCCCGTCTCTCTTTAGCTGCAGCTACCCCTACCCCCATACCCAGCCACAAAGAAGGATCAGACCAGAAACGTTGACTCTCCTTTCCTGCAGATGCTGCCTGGCTTACTGTGTTCTTCCAGCCTCCTGTTTGTCTACTGTGGATTCCAGCATCTGCAGTTTTTTTTTGTCTCTAACCATGTTTCAATGACATTTTCAAGTCAGCTGACTCAAGTGGCCACTTACCAATAAACAATTTAAATATTCTTTTCTGCAACTTCTCATTCAAGTTACTCCATTTGAGTAATTAATCGATTTTTGCACATTGTTAATGTACTGCCTAAAGTGTAGTGGGGTAGAACTTAAAACAAGATGGATGTGTGACTCCTCCCCAACTATTTGAAAGATCATACTGAGAGGAGACAACAGTTTGCACTTCTGCATAAAACATACTGCTGACATTAGGAAGGCAGCTTATGATGTGGATAGAGCCATGAAAACTCAACTAATGGGAATCTGGATGGAAAAAATGCATGCAGACTGTATATCAAGAGTCTTCAGCAGCTGAGGTGGCAGACTGGTAGGGATGAGTTCTACCCAGATTGACAACCACTGTGCTCTACTTGCCACACCTGACTAGTGGCATCCATTCCAGAAAGGAGTTCTTGGCTACCAAAAACTGTTACCCCATGGAATCTTTTTATTATGTTGCTGGTGAGATGAAGTATACACGTTGTCGTCCCAGATCTTGACCTTTATCTGAATTGGTGTGTCTCTTAAGATGTATTTTACCTGATGAATATCACCCATCTTCAGTTAAAGGCATTTCACAAGTACAAATGGTCCAACTCCTCTGCTGGAAACCCAGTTTTGCTACCTACGTTTTGAAGTGAAATTGATTTTTTTTTTAAATGATGTGATAAATTGCATTGCCACTTCCTTAGCTCCTGATTTTGACCACAAGATTCAATGAAAAAAAAATTTTCTGAATGAAAGAAACATGATTATGAACATAACTATTTCAAAGCCTATTAACTTTTCTCTAAAGCTTTTTTAAATTGCGAATTAATCCGTTGTGCATTCTGTTTGGAGTTCTTTGAAACTGGTGTCTTTTTATTCTGGTTTTTGAGATGTGAAATGACCAAATAGGTAAACATCAGCTATTCCATTAATTCTGCCCACTTTTTTTTTTTTTTGCTCCTCATAAATTTGTAGAATCATAAGAAAAGTGGCCTTTGGCCCATCAAGTCTTTGAACTGCCAAGAATGCACTACTGCTTACACTAGTTTCACATTCCTGTACTAGGCCCATAGCCTTGAATGTATGACACTTCAAGTACTCACTCAGGTACTTTTTTAAAGGTTGAGGTGTTTCCCACCTGGACTACCCTCCCAGATAGTGCATTCTAAACCCTCATCACATGGAGTGAAAAAGCTGTTCATCAAATCTCCTGTGAACCTCATGCTTTTCACTTTAAAAGTGTGACCCCTTTGTTCTTAGGTGAATGACTAAGATTTGAGGGCTCTGTGCTGGAAGGAGAAAGAAATCTCCATCTGATTTGAAACAACATCACCTTGTTACCAGCCTTGCTGGTGGTTGTTGTGTCAGTGAGTTTGGCTCCGTTGGCTAACGTTAAGGAATATCATGCAGTTTGTGCCTAGGTAGATGTATTTCATGTTACAGGGTTCAAATTTAAAACATACGATTCACCCTTGCCAAAAACAGCAGGTCAGTGAAGCACTAGTGGCACTGCACCTATGTCAACCTATGCTCCTGAAGTGCTAATCCCCTGGTGTGATCTGGTTCCACCCCCTCTTAGTGAAGATGAGAGACACCTTGTGACCTACTGGGAATGACCTACTGGGAAGAGTGTGTCTCCAAACACCCAAGATCCCACCCCGCTGCTGGCCAAAGACCAGTGACTTCTGTCAAAGATAAAGAAGCTATCAAACTATGCTGGGGGGAAGCACTTAGAACCTGGCTGAGGTTGAGTCTTGTCGTTGATCTGAGTCTTTGACCACGCTACACACCATAAGCTGAGCAACACCCCAGCCTTCTACGAAGTAGAGAAGGCCATCTGCCAGCTCAAGAACAACAGCTGCTGGAGCAGTTGGTATCCTTGCTGAGGCATTGAGGTACAGAGGCAAAGAGCTTTTGCTGCAGCTAAATGCTCTTGTCTCCCTTATCTGGAAGTAGAGCATCCCAGGAGAGCTCAGTTGTGAGCATTTTCAAAAAAAGAACAAGTCTAAGTGTGATTAACTAGAAGGATATCTCCCTACTGTTGACTGTTGGAAAAGTCATTGCCAAGGTCCTCAACTATCTCATCCTTGTGGCTGAGGAACACCCTAGAATTGCAGGGTGGCTTTCGGCCACGGAGGGGCACAACTGACATGACTTGTATCACACGAGCCTCGGGGGAAATGCAGAGAAACGAACCTACCCCTGTACGTGGCTGCCTTGCAAAGGCCTTTGACTCCATCGACCAGGAAGCATTATGGAGCATCCTTCTTTCTCTGCTTTAGCTGCACCATGAAGTTTGTCACTATCCCTCACCTGCTCCATGATCACATGGAAGTCGTAATGACAAATAGCTCCATTGCTGGCCCACTCTGGACCTGTGTCAGGCAGGACTGCATCATTAATCTACCCCACTACAATACTACATCTCACTGCTACCAAACTACCCACTACAGTGGAGCAAACTTGCAAAACCAGTGGAAAACTATTCCAATGTCTGCTGCCTTCAAGCCAAAATCAAAGTCACTCCCACCACTGTATGCAAGCATCACCAGCATACCGCAGATGAATTTGCGCACAATCAAGGATGAACTCCAGACCATCATCCGCTCTCTTACGGAGGCATAGAAGAGTGTGGGTCCCGCCCTGAACACCTGCAAGGTGAAGGCCCCCACCAACATTACAAACTGAACCCCTGATCATCAAGGTCCACAAGGAAGCCTTGAATGTTGGCCACTTCTAATACCCTGAAAATATCCTGTTGACCAAAGTAGATATTGAAGTGATCCAACACAGCCTCTACTGTGCCTAGCACCGCCTTCAGCCACTTGAAGAGGGTGTTCGAGGATGACAAATCAGATCTGACATCGAATCTATGGTATACAAAGCTGTGGTGGTTCCCATGCTCCTATATGGCTCTGAGATATGAATTGTCTACAGGTGTCTCAAGGTGCTGGAACAGTACCACCAAAGCTTCCTGCGAATCTGCTGGGAAGACAGATGCATCAATGCCGAGGTCCTCAACCAGGCTAACATCCCCAGCATTGAAGCACTGACCACCCTTGATCAGCTGTGATGGGCTGGGCACATTGTATTCATGACTGACACGACTCCCCAAGCAGGTACTCCATTCCCAGCTCTGAAATGGCAGGCAAGCCCCAGGTAGACAAAGAAAATACTTCAGGGACACCCTCAAGGCCTCACTGGTGATGTGTGGCATTCCCACTGATACCTGAGAATCACTTCCTCCAAGACTGATCCAAAGTGGAGGAGGAATTTCCAGGAAAGCACCAAGCACCTGCTAGACTTGCTGTCAGGGGAAAAAGTGGAAGTCAGGTGAAAATCGCATGGGTGTGCTGCCCCACCCACCCTCTCCTACAACTACCTTTTTTGTCCCAAGTGTAGTAGCGTCTGCATCAGCCTCGTTGGACTGTACAGCCACCTAAAAGTCTCGCTGAGAGTGGGAGAGAGTTGTCCCTGTCTGTGAGCGACCAGAAATGATGATCTGTATGTGGTGGGGGAGGGTGATAGCTGAAAAATGTTTGATCTGTCTTTAATTGCTATTTGATATCTTCTGTTGAAGATTTGACTGAGATGTCCATTACCCATATTTGCCTCGTTAGGTTTGGGATGTTAACATATACATCTATCTTTGCGCAGTCTAAATCCTTTTGTCAAAAATGTTTTCATTTTGAGTAGCTATTTTATTATTTGGCAGAAACAATCCGCCAGGATTTCTTTCTAGTAAACTATACACAGTCTAAACCTATACAATTGACCATATCAACCTGGTTAAATTTTAAAACTTATGATCAGTGGAGGAGTGGGGCTAGACAAGAATCAGCATTCTCCCTGACCTCTAACACACATTTAAGGAATTGCTGTATAAAGAACTAAGATTAATTTTCACCTTGTTTCATGTCTTTCAAATGTAAACTGTAATTTAGTCTGCTATTGAAATTGTTACTTAGTGATTTATATGTAGAGATCGCTGGGATTATTCAGTATTGTTGTGTACTTTTCAGTAACTTGCATTTTATGCAGGTGCATTTATTAATTGGATTAAAGAGCACTCTCTCTCTTCTTATTTTAGTATTTAGGGCAACTGACTTCAGTGCCTGGGTACTTGAATCCATCCAGTCGAACTGAGATATTGCACTTGTTAGATAATGCAAGGGTGAGTAACGCTTGGTCATTTTATCTGGGAAGGTAAATGCATATAAAACCAGGTCTACCTTCAACAGAAAGACAATGTGGAATTATTAAACCCTTAATAGATAACAACAGTCCATATAATTGAACTGCCAAAGCATCTAAGCGAAACTACTTAACTTCGGACTAAATATGTGACCAGAAATTTAGTTGTAAATCTAGGCAATAGGATGCTTATGCCAATAGATGGAATACTGGCAAATATAAGGCCGCATTGAATTTTAACCTTGATGCGCTTAAAGATTACAATTATCTTACACCATTATATCAATGTGTGTTTTGAAATCAAATGCCCTTGGTCAACATTTGCCTCAAATTTGGTTTTGCTTCCCAGTTGAAAAATTTATTTGTCTTGAATCCAAAGTGATCACCGACACTGCTTTCCCCCTTGTTGAACTCCATTTTCCACACTTTTACAATGCAAAACAGACATTTGACTTTTTTCTTTTCATTTAATGTTACCTTCCTATTTTATCTGGATCATGGATGTATAATTTTATCCCTTTCATTATCCAAGTCAGTTGAATGTGGTTAAAATGAAACCTTAGTACAAATCCTTGGGGAAGGTCATTTGGCACATTCTGCCAATCCGATTATGTTCACTTTTATTTGAATTGGGTCCCAGCTCCTAAATAATCGCAGCTGTCTCAAGGTTGCCTCCAATTTTCTGTACTTATGTTAATAATCTTGAACAGAATTATGACATGCTTTCTGGGAATTCCCTATGCTTGCTTCCCTGGTCATTTAATATTGTATCTTCAAAAATAATTCCTTGGAGGCAAGCATATCCTGCGTTGCAGTTCACACTGATTCTGATCAGCTCACTTTTTTTAAGTGCTCAATCAATGTGACATAAATTCACAAAACAACATTTTGAAACTGATTCTCGATTTCTTCCGTGCTGGCTTAAATAATGAACTGATGTCCAGTTTTCCTATAAGTAAAATTCCCAGATTGGAAATTTTGGAGAACCATGAAAAACGCATGTGCAATATTCCCCATCTGAGTAATACCCTGGAGTCATAAAGGGCTCTTTTGGTGCAATGGTAGTGTCCCTATCTCTGAGCTAGGAGGCCTGGGTCCACGTTTTGTGTGTCATAATCTCTGGACAGGTTCATTGATATCTTCCGTGCAGTCATAAGCTGGAGACTAGTCTGCAGTCTATTAGTGAAGTTAGAATAAATAATAAATTCCTTCACTAACTCATCCTATGGGGCTGATATATTGTCCTCTTCCACTGCCAAGAAAGGGGATGCAATTATACCATCCCTTATTACCAATATTGTATCTCATGCATTTGTTATAGTAAACCCACATTGCCCTCTCTACATTTTAGTACCCTTTCTTAATAAATTAATGTTCTTATGTTGGCATTGTCTCTTGCAAGCATTTGATCTAATGTTTTTGTGCCTTTTCATTGCGTGTATTTTGTTTTGGTTTTTCTAAACTTGGTTATTTTTTGATTTGCTTTTTGTGCAAGCCTTCCTTTTTTTGGTTAAACTTGCTCCGTAACTGCACCAGTGGAAGATTTTTTGCTGATTTGGTACTATGCCAAAAGCATCCTTTAAATATCCCAGTGCTGTCCGTATAAACTCGGCCCTCGTTTACTCAGATTAAATCTATTTCTAATGGCTTTGAATTTTCCTTAATTAAATTTTAAACTTTTTGTCCTCTGACTTTGACATCATTTTCTGTCATCAGATATGTATGACCCTTAAAATAGATTATTGAATAAATGTCTAGTCTGTTGTAAATACATAGTGTTCAGGAGCGTTTTCTGGAATAAAGTTTTCACTAGTATTTTGCAGGCTGAAAATTAAAACCTCCCATCAGGGAGACTACTGATAATTGTTGCTGGAGCATTTGTTTGCTATCTCTGTGTACATGTGGTTATTACACTCGTAGCAGTTCCCAGCATTGTCAGAAGATTAAATTGTTAAAAGCATTTATTACTGATTCAATACTTGATGATAAATTTGCTGATTCCTTGGGGAGACTGTATTTAATGGTCATTTAAGTGCCTTCGAGTCAAGTAAGTCGTTTGAGCTGTCCAGTGTAGAGATGTGAATGTAATCTCATTCATTGTAATTTATTCAAGTCAATGCTGAGGGCATCAGTTCTAGTGGAGATTGAACAAATGCCCTGACTGTCCACACAAGTGGATGTAACAGATAATGTGATGTTGCTCAGTAATTAGAGAGCTTTTCTCAGTGTCCTAGCTAGGACACTTCCTTGACCAGCATCACCATAACCAATTACTTGGTCATTTGATCTCATTGCTTTTGTGGTGTTGCTATGTGCCAATTGGCTGATGCATTCCTTCTTTGATACTGCCGATATTTTAAACACAGCCTACAACATTTCTTTTTAAAATGCTTCAGGACATCTTAAGGTTGTTTTAAAGTATTGGAGAAATGGCAAGTTCTTTTAAAAATGATGATTATGTAGGCCTTATTTGAATCTAAGCACCTGTGTGCAATCTTAAATGATGAAATTATACTCACTACTTGATGAAATTGAGAACAAACTATCTTCAGCTAGCTGCTCACATGGTAGTTTGGTTAAACTAGTTCTTGAGTTATTGTTTTCATGCCCAATAAGGGGAATAGTACTTCATTCTTGGAGAATTAAAGTAATAAGTCGACTTATTTACAAGTGCTGTATCTTAATTTTCAGAGGGCACGTCAGCTTCCAGGACCACTCACATCAGAACAAGATGCTGTCATTAGTGTGTCCGCATATAATGTTAAATTGGTGTGGCGAGATGGTGAAGACATTATCCTCAGAGTTCCAATCCATGACATTGCAGCAGTCTCTTACATCAGAGATGATTCCCTTCACCTAGTCATTTTTAAAACTGGTAAGTTTTTTTTTTTATGCTTCAGTAGAATGTTCTCCCAGTTCATCCTGGCATCTAAGACAGAAGCATGTGCGTTGTAAAAAGTATTTTACTTTTGTACGGCACGGTGGCTCAGTGGTTAGCACTGCTGCCTCACCACGCTAGGGACCCGGGTTCATTTCCACCCTCAAGCGACTGTCTGTGTGGAGTTTGCACGTTCTCCCCGTATCTGTGTGGGTTTCCTCCAGGTGCTCCGGTTTCCTCCCACAGTCCAAAGATGTACAAGTTAGGTGGATTGGCCATGCTAAATTGCCTGTAGTGTGTTCAGGGATATGTAGTGTGTTCGATTCTCTGAAGGTCGGTGTGGACTTGTTGGGCCGAAGGGCCTGTTTCCACACTGTAGGGATTCTGTGATCTATGATCTATGTATCTGGTACACATCTGTGTACTTAATCACCATTGTCTGCTTTTACACAACACAAGTCCTGCTGTTTGTCACATAGCAGCATAGAATTCCTAGTGGAAAGACCATATTAAGGCTGTATCACTTCACACGTCAATTTTGGACTAATTCTCAATTGTCATCTTACTAAAGAATGAAGGAGCTGCATTTCATTCCGCTGACAATGATAGGCATCATTGGAATTCCCACCCCCAGGTTCTTCCTCAATTTCTTTTTTTTTTTTTTAAAAGAGTTCCTTGCTATGGTGTTCTGTCGAAATGCTACCTTATCAAAGACATTTATCTTCTCCTCACCACTCTGCATGCAACTGCTTAATCTGTTTTGAACAAGGCTTTGATGGGGTCTGGACCCAGATGGTCCTGGCAGAACCAAACTGGGTATCTGTGATAGAAGTTATTGGTATGTTGCGCTATAGGTAGTTACTCCCTAGTGCTAGGGTCAAGGACATCAGAGTGGTTTGCAGCAAATACTCCAAGGGAAGTCATTTGTACCAATGACGTTCGTAGAAAAATGGATGACGTCCGTAGAAAAATGGATGATGTCCTGCAGAGTGAAAATAGGGAGCTGGGCAGGAGGTTTAAAAAGCAGAACATCAAAAACCTAATCTCTGGATTACTACTGGTGCCATGTGCTAGTGAGTGTAGGAATAGGAGGATAGAGCAGATGAAGGATGGGTTGCACCTGAAGTGGAGGGGTATCCAGTGTTGTGTGGGGAGATTTCCTAGATTTACTCAGGATTTAAAGTAAACTAATAGGGGAATGGAACCCTGAATGGTAGTCAGACGAGGAGGTTAAGACTGGTATAGAAGTTAAAGCAAACAAGTTAAATGGACAAGGCAAGCAAGAGCATGGCAGAGAACAAGGGAAGGCTTATTTAAACTGCATTTATGTCAATGCAAGGGGCCTGACGGGTGAGGCAAATGAACTCTGGGCATGGATGGAAACGTGGGGTTGGGATATCACAGCTATTACAGAAACATGGCTGAGGGAGGGTTAGGACTGGCAGCTCTAATTTCCAGGGCACAGATGCAGTAGGAATGATAGAAGGAGAGGCAAGAGAGGAGGGTGAGTGGCATTTTTGATCAAGGAAAACATTTCTTCGGGATTGCTTAGTGAAGCTGTATGGGTAAAACTGAGAAATAAGGGCGTGATCCCTTTGGGATTGTACTGTAGACCCCAGTAATCAGGAAGTGGAGGAGCAAGTATGTAGGGAGGTTGCAGGTAGCTGTAAGAATAATAGGGTTGTAATAATTGAGGATTGTAACTTTGCAGACGTAGGCTGGGACTGCCAAGTGTTAAGGGCTTGGATGGTGAGGAATTGAGTGTTCAAGAAAATTTTCTACTTCACCATGTAGATGGCCTTACTAAAGAAGGGGCAAACTCACCCTCTTCTTGGGAAATTTTAGACTAGTGGACTTTTAAACTAGTTTGGCAGGAACCTGAGGGATAATCCTTTTCTCAGAATGGTGCATATATGGAACGAGCTACCAGAGGAAGTGTTAAAATGGATACAATTACAGCATTTTGAAAGAGATTTGAATAGATACATGAACAGGAAAAGTTTAGAGGGATATGGAAGCGCAGGCAAATAGGACTAGTTCGGTTTAGGAAACTTGGTTGGCATTGATAAGTTGGGCCAAAGTTGTTTCTGTTCTGTATGACTCTGACTTGTAGCATTTGAAGAATTGTTCCTCTGACTGTGACTTTGCTTTGCTTTGAGTTTTTCTTCTTTTAATTCATTCATGGATTGTAGGTATTACTGGCTAAGCCAGTATTGATTCCTTGTCCATAAATGCCTAGAGAGTAGTGAAGAGTCACCCACATTGCTGTGGGTCTGGAGTCACGTAGGCCAGACTGGGTAAGAATGGTAGTTTCCTTCTCTAAAGGACATTAGAGAACCAGATGGGTTCTCTGACAATCAACAATGGATTTGTGATCATTAGACTATTCATTCCAGATTTTTATTGAATTCTGATTCCACCATCAGGATTTGAACCCAGGTACTTGGAATATTAACTGGGTCTCTGGATTAACAGTCCAACGATTTAATACCACCAGGCCATCACATCCCCCAGGACTTCAGAATATCTGGACAATTTTCCACTTTGCTGGGTCAATGCCAATATCATAATTAGCTGTACTGGAATGGTTTGGCTGGAGGTCCAGCTAGTTTTGGAGTACAATCTTCGATATGCCTGGAATGTTGTCCACACTTGTAGCCTTCACTGTATCCAGTGCAGATAGCTGTCCATTATGGAAAGACTTGAGTTGTCTAAACAACTTTTTCTGTTCGTCTTTTAATTGTTCATTGTTCGTGACATGTGGCAGGACTGTAAAATTTTGAATTAACTTCTCTGATCCAGTCGCGGGATGTGGAAATCGCTAGCTGGCCAACACCATTTTTTTTTTCTCCATCTCTAGTTGCCCTTGAGAAGGTGGTCCATATCCATGTCCCACAGTGAAGTGATCCAAAAAGTGTTCATGTGTGTGCACTGACAACACCCAGCACCACCTTGTCCCGATCCCTAATGATGCTTCACAGCTGCTAATTATGTTGAATTGGCATCCAGTGTTGGATGAGGGTAGTGAGGACATGGAACTGTTAGTGAAATGGGCAGATACATGATAGATGACATCTGATGCAGAAGTGAGTGTTGGTAAGATTTTGATTTGAGCTAGTGTTGAAGACAACAGAGACTGGCGTCAGTGTGTCTGGAAGCTGCGCTGATCATTTTTGGATTATAATTGGAAATTCCTTCACTTTGGAATCCTGTACCCAAGGTGGTTACGGATGTTTCATTGTTGAGTATAATTATAGCTAAGACATATTTTTGACCTCCAGGAACCAAGGGGTATGGAGGAACGGGTGGGAAAGTGAAGTTGAGGTAGTTGAGCCATGGTCATGTTGTATGAAATAAGTTTGGCTTGTGTGGTCTACTCCTTCTGTTTATGAATGAAGGGTATAAATTATTTGATGCGGGGACTTGAGGGATACATGTTCAAATCATAGGTGTATGGCATCCTGGGCTTTGTACATAGAGGTATCAGGCACAAGAAACGAAATTTTAATTAAACTTGTTAAACCTCAGGGCATTAAAATTCTAAATCAAGTTCTGGGCACTGTATTTCAAAGGTGCAGAAAAGTTTTTAGTTTTAAAAATTGGATTTAGGAATGTGAGACCACTTTGAAGAAGAGCAGGTGGCGAGGAGATTTGGATAAAGATGCTAAAAGACCCTAAGAGTTGAGCAGAAGTAGGTCATTTGGGCCCATCGATTTTGATCCATCATTCAGTGCAATCATGGCTAATGTGATAATCCTCACTCCACTTTCCTGCCTTTTACCCATAATCTGTTGGTTCCCCTACTGATTAAAAATCTGTCTTGGCCTTGAATAAATTTAACAACAACCTTCTAGCCCTCTGGAATAAAGAATGGGTGGCACAGTGGTCCACTGGTTAGCACTGCAGTCTCACAGCACCAGGGACCTGGATTTGATTCCACCCTCGAGCGACTGTCTGTGTGGAGTTTGCACATTCTCCCCGTGTCTGCAGGAGTTTCCTCTGGGTGCTCCGGTTTCCTCCCACGGTCCAAAGATGGGCAGGCTAGGTGGATTGGCCATGCTAAATTGCCCATCGTGTTTAGGGATGTGTAGATTAGGTGGGTTATAGGGGGATGGGTCTGCGTGGGATACACTGAAGATTGGTGTGGACTTGTTGGGCCAAAGGGCCTGTTTTCATACTGGAGGGATTCTGTGAATTCCACAGATTCACTAAGATCTGTGGAAATTCCTCTTCACCTGTCTTTGTGTTGGCAACCTTTTTTATTCCACCCCTGCCCTCGCATCCTAGAGTCTCCCACAAGAGGGAACACCTTCTCTGCATCTACCCTGTCAAATCCCCTAAAGCCTGTATGCTTCAAAGTTTGCCACTTATTCTTCAAAATTTCAATGAGTACAAACCCAACCTATTTTACCTATCCTCTCAAAATGGTTCTTCCAAGCCTGGGATTGACCTAGTGAACCTTTTACTACCAACCTCCAATGCCAGTATATATTTCCTCGGGTAAGGGATCCAGAACTGTTAATGGTATTCTGAATGTGGCCTAACAAGTGCCTTGTATACTTTTAGTGGGGCTTACTATTTTTATTCTCCATTGCTTGTTGAAATGAAGACTAACATTCCATTTGCTTTGCCTATTACTTGTTGAAAAGGTGCTCAAGATCGTTAGTCCAGACAAGATTTGAGGTAGACACTTGGATTTGGCCAAGTGATAAAGAACTAGAGGGCACAGGTTTTCTGATTACTAAAAGAACCAAAGGCAGCATACGAATGTTTTTGTTTTTTGACAGAGCAAATAGTTTGGATCTGAAATGCACTACAGGAGAGGGTGGTAATCACATTCAACTGGTTTTCAAACGGGCTGGCTGAATTGCTCCTTTTTTTTTGAGTTGGCATGGTTTTGACAACCTGAATGTCTCTATCTTCTGTACTGCAACTATTTGATTAGACTGGAATAGAAATCTCTTTTTATAGAATAATGTGAATTAATTAAGTTTAGCCAATCTAAGTGAGACCTGGAGTATTTTCTCCTTTGGAGAGAACTGCTAACACCTGAACTAATTCACCTGCCCTGGTTCTTATTTGACTCTGCTTAGCTAGATAAATACATTTTGATATTTGGGGGTGGCTCAGTAGTTAGCACTGCGGGCTGTCAGTGCCAAGGACCCAGGTTCATTTCCATCCTAGGGCAACTGTGAGGAGTTTGCACATTCTCTGTGTCTGCATGGGTTTCCTCCCAGGTGCACCAGTTTCCTGCCATAATCCAAAAATGTGCAGGTTAGGTGGATTGGCCATGCTTAATTGTCCATTGTCTCTAGGAAAGTGCAGGCTAGGATTAGCCATGGGAAATGCAGGGTTTCATCAATAGGGTAGGGCCCGTGGGTCTGGATTGGATGCTTTTTTTTTTGGAACGTTGATGTGGGCTGAATGGCCTGCTTACACACTAGGGATTCTGTGAACTTCTGTGATATGACTAAAGAAATTTTTGTAGCTTCGACAAACGTGAAATATTACCTACAGATTACTATAAGACTATCCTATTCTTGCTCACTAGAGTAGCAACACTGGATTTTCATATTCGGCATGACTTGTGAATTTAAATTTAAATCTGACAGATTGTCGTAATGTTTTTTGGCAAGAGAATTTGTCATTCTTAACTGTTCCAGTTTACTAATAACTGTCATCCTGTGCTGTAGTCGGTAATTTATCTTCCACCCATAGTTGTGCAAAGACAATGCAAACTGGTAACTACATCTCAAACAACAGCATTGAGCCACAAAGATCACTGACGCACCCAAATGTCAACTAAGGTATTGGTAATTAAATTTAAGCACGCTGTAGAAATTTAAACTGTGCTATTTGGTTTGCTTCTGGTGGAAATTCTTTAATTATGGAATGCACCTGTAAGTTTGTACCGAAGTACCAAGGCAACTAATATCATAAAACAGATTTGCTGGAGCAACTCTGCAGGACTGACAACTTCTTTAGACAAGTTAACATTTTGAGTCCAATAACCCTTCCATAGTAAATAGTTACCAGATAAACAAATGTCATTCTAACAGAACAAACTGTTCAAAGTAACAAAAGTATTAACAAATTTTTGTTTTACTTTCAGCCAATGAATCCGTGAATTCAACCAATCAAAGCACTGAAGGTTCAACTAAAATACAGATGTCAGTGTCAGAAAGTGGAGCAGGAACCATGGAAGCGTGTAGTCTGGTGGTGGTGGTTGTTGAGAATAAAGTAAGGTTTTTTCTTTTTTTTTTTATATAGAGTATTTTTGTACAAATATTCAGAAATGTGTCCACATTAGTTGATGCAAAATTATATTTGAGGTAGTCATGATGCCGGGAAATGTTCAAAGGATTTTTAGCTGAGACCTGTGAGGCTAAAAACTAGGTGCTAGGAAGCGAGATTAGAATGAGCGACTGGATTATTCAGCCACTGCACTCATGGACTGAATGGCTGCTTTCTGACCTATAACTGTTTTCTGTGGTGCCAACAGGATGTGGAAAGTATCTGAGAATAAGGCATTATTTTAATTGAATTGCAGCATTTTCTTTACATGACCTTCAGCTGTATAGGAAGCCCCGTTGTGTCAGGCAGCTTGATTTTGATCCTGTTTACGCATTCACACTATATAGCTTAAAAGTTATTTCACTGTAAATCCTTGTGTTGCATGTAGCAACATCCATAGTGTCATAATCATTTATAGCATAGGTTATTTGGACAAATAACTCTGCCAGCTCCCATGGAGCAATCCAGTCATTGCTACAACGCCATTCCACCCTCTAGCCATGCAAGTTTATTTCTTCGAGTGCCCATCCAATTTCTTTGGAAACCATTTTGTTTCTGCATCCACACTCCTCGTGAACAGCAAGTTCCAAATCATTGCCACTTGCTGCACAGAACAGAATTTTTGCAGTCTCTCTGCTCTTCTTGCCTGAAATAAATTTACTCTTAGTCTTTGTGCTATCAGTTAGTAAGAAGAGTTTATCTTCAACATTCTACGAAATCTCATTTACTGGGAAGAACCCAGCTTCATTTGTTTTTCCCCCAGAAATATGAAACTAGGAGCAGTAGTTGGCTATTCCACTACTAGAAATAATGCAACTAGGTCATGGGGGTTTGGCAATGGCCTAGTGGTATTCTTGCTACACTGTTAATCCAGGGAGCTAGGTTCGAATCCTGCCATAACAGATGATGGAATTTGAATTCAATAATAACCTGGAAATAAAAGTTTTTAATGATGACCATTTGCCAATAATCAGGAAAATCACATCTGGTTCACTTAATCCCCTTACCTGGTCTGGTTTACATGTGACTCCAGACGCACAGCAATGTATTGACTCTTAACTACCTTTTGGGGCAATTAGGGACGGGCAACAAATGCTGGCCTGGCTAGTGATAAACACATTCCATGAATGAATATTTTTAAAATTCGGCCCTTTTTGGCTCCTCTTAACCTAATTCCTCAAACACACCTATCCATGGAACGATTCTGGCAAATCTCTTCTGTATCCTTTTGATTATCACAGCCTTTGAGGTGTGGTGAGCAAAGCTGGTTCAGCATTCTAGTTTTAATAATCTCCTTCAAAGCCCAACTCTCATATTCAGTAAATGGACAAATTGCATCTCCACTATTTACAATGCAGTGCCAGCAATTCCTTTCTGGAGTTTAGGGAGTCTGTCTACTCATTTCCAATGCCTTAGATTGCATGCATTGTCTCAGTGTGATCACCTTGCATGTTTTTAATCAATAAAACAATGATGTGGAGGTGCTGGTGATGGACTGGGGTGGACAGGCTCTCTTCCCTCTTATTACATTTCATTTCTCGCTGTTCGTTAAAACCATGTTTGTTATTGCAAACGTATCATTCCCAGCTTGTAGCACATCAACTTAATTCAACACGTTGTGTATTTACATACATGCATTGTAATCCTGTCTTTTCATTCCTTATCCTTTCTAGTCTGTGACATGGGAGTAGAGTTGAGACATTCAGCCCGTCAAGTCTGCACTGCCATTCAGTGCGATCATGTCTGAGCTGGTAACCCTCAACTCTACGATCCTGTCTTTCACCCATAACATTTTTATCCTGCTGTTTAAAAACCTGTGTCTCAACCTTGAATATGCTTAATGGCCCAGCCTCAACACTCCTGTGTGGTAAAGAATTCTACATATTCATTATTCTCAGAAGAAATTCCTCAGTTGTCTTAAATGTGTGATTCCTTATTTTAAGGTTATGTCTGCTGGTCCTATAGTTTCCCACAAGGGAAACAATCTTTCTGTACTTAGCCTGTCAAGTCCCATAAGAATTTTGTTTATTTCAATATAGTCACTTTTTTTAATTCTTCTGAATTCCAGTGAGTACAGGCTGAATCTACTCAACCTCTCCTTGTAAGACTTACCCTCCATACCCAGTATCTACATAATGAGCCTTCTCTGCACTGCCTCCAATGTCAGTATGTCTTGCCTTGGATCAGGGGCCAAAACTCTTCCAGCTTTGACTGAGTAGTTCCTTGTACAGCTTTAGTAAAACCTCGTTTTTAAACTCCATTCACTTTTTGAAATAAAGATCAACATCTCACTTGCATTTATTACACTCTGAACCTGGTTGGTAGCCTTTTGTGACTTGTGTAGGAGCACCCACAAATTCCTGTTTGGTAGCTTTCTACAGTCTTTCTTCACTTAAGTAATATTCATGTCCTCAATTTTTTCCTGCCAAAATGCATAACCTTATTTCACCGCATCATATTTCATCTGCCAAGCTTTTGTCTACTCGCAACATTCTACACCCCTTTGCCAGCTATCATCCTCCCTACTTGCCTTCCCACTTATTTGTTTTTGTCACCTGCAAACTTGGCTGTAGTACATTCACTTTCCTCCAAGTCACTTTATATAATTTTGATCCCAGCACTGATCTGTGTGGCAATCTCCTAGTTACACATCATTCCTGTCTATTATAGTACTGCTACCTTTTCTAGTCCTGTCAACACTTGGCCTGTGTGGCTATCTCCGCTAATTTAGATTAAATCTTTGCTAATCACTCTAGTGAACCTTCCTTTGAGGATACGTCCTGTTGAAGTGAAAACCATCTCTTTAATTAAAAATGCTTTCTGCCCCTTTTTGAACTAGTCTGGTATCCCAAGAATCTTCACGATGCTTCAAGCTGAGGTGTTGGGGCGTGGGGAATTGAAAGTTTTAGAAAACGTGGAGGTGGGTGTGTTTGTGGAGGTGGGTAGAGATAGAAATAGGTGATGCAGGCTTGGGGAGCTATCAGGTTGGAGGCTGTGCACAGGGCATCTCCTGAGGGCGATTGTGTTGGTCTGGGAGATGATGGCATGGTGATCTGAGGTGGGGTCATGATCGAGGGGACAGTAGGTGTCAGAGTTTGCACCTCGCCTCAGCGCTGTAGAGGTCAGTTTGCCACACGACCACCATGCCCTCCTTGTTAGCAGGTTTAATGTTAAGGTTGGTGTTGGACCAAAGGGAATGGAGGGCTGCATGGAGTAATGTGTAGAGATTCAGGCGATTGATTTCATGGCAGCAGTTGGCCATGAAGAGGCTGGGAGGGTATGTCCAGGAAGGCTGAGTTCACTGGAGGCAGGAGAAAGGGTCATCAGAGGGTGGGTTCGATTCATCTTCGAAGGAGGAGGTGCAGAGGTGACAGAAAAAGAACGTGGCTTCAAGACATGTGCAGATTAACTCTTCTTTTCCAGGCCTGCTGCCTTAGCGCACTCTTTTTGGTCTTGCTGTATTTATTCCCAGCTAGCTTCTTTTTTGTACCTCTGTCCAGTCTCCCTGTTTTTAATCTTTTTAAATTGCATGTTTTAGTTCATTTATTTTGAAAAAAAATCTTTGCATGTTCATTTTTCTTTGATTTTGGGCTAGGATGAATGGTCTTTAATCACTTACATCCATCAGCTCACTGGTTAACCTTAGTGTGTTTTATTTAAGACATCCTGCATTCTAGTCAGAATTCCTTCTGGTCACCATTGGCTGAAACAAATGATTTGAAACTTGCTGAATGTAATCAGCTCAAAATAAATGACTACATTTACAGCCAATGATTTACTTCTGAAAACACTTTGTGGCATCTAGGACACGTTTTGAAAGAGCCCTTTAAATGCATGTTTTATTAAACCTTGTATACAAGTGATTCTTGAAGATTGGTCAAAAGTGGCAAGTCTTTCCAGGCCACTATGCAGTATTGCACATTTTCCATTGGTCCTGACATCTGCATACAGCAAAATTTCACTTCTGTTGGTTTGAGATTTAAAACAATAATTTAGAAGTCTTCATCTACCCTGATTTTGCAACTTTAGAATGATGCTATGGCATCATTCTGTGGCTGTGTAACTTAACCTGATGAAATCAAAAGATGCTATTTGTAAAATAATACAAATGATGTGTTTGAGAACCTCAGCAGGTCTACTGGCATCTGTGAAGAGTGAGTTGGTTAACTTTGAGTTCAATATTTCTCTTTGGAACTAAAAGGGAAAGGCAGAATGATGGACTGCCCCATGACTTTTCAACACAGTTCAGAAAGATTCTATTGATCTGTCCAGGTACATGCAGACCTGTGGAGTTTCTGCACTTCTCGAATGCTGGAGATCTGAAATAAAAACAGTTTTGCTTTTGTTGAAGGTTGTTTAAAATCTTTTGTTTATCTTTGATTTGAGGATGGGTCCAATCTAAAATAGGCTACAAAAATAGCCAGGACAGCATGAACTTCACGAGTAACTTGCAGAAGAGGTTTGCAATCAGCAAGTGGTCGTTTATTAGTTGAAGTCATTGTATTGACAAACTAAGAACTGTAATGCTTCCTGATTAATTTGCTGCTGAATCTGAGAGAATTGGTATTTAAGTATTTGTTTCATCCACTTAAGACTGTGGAAAATACTTTTCCCTATTAAATGGACATTTTAGTAAAAATTACTTAAAATGTGGGTTCAGATACATGGCCTTTATCTGTAGGTAAGGGTTTTAATTCAGCCTAGTGATGATCAATGAGATCAGTTTTGGCTGCATTGCTATATGTGAAATTTAATCTCAACAAGCTTAATCTATTTTCTGCTGCCAAAGGTAACTTTTTTTTTGAGGTCGGTGCATTGTGGAGTAGATTACTCTTCACGGAAGCAACACGCGCGTATATTCTTGATGCTGGTACAGGATTCATGAGAGAGAAAGAAAGAAGGTTCTATTTCTTACCATTAATGTGCATCCTTTCAAGTAATGAATGCCATCATAACATTTTAAAATATTGAATGTTTAAGCTGACAAAAGTGTAGATGGGAATCCTGAAACTGAAACCAGCAAAATTAATACAAGGGCATAAATATGAGCATGGTATGTCTTTCAGCCCTTAATTCACTCTGCTATTCATAAAGATCATGACAGATCCACATCAACTCAACCTTCCTGTGCTGTATCCAAATCTTTGGACTACCTTTTTTAATATTCAAAAATCAAGCAATCAGTCTTGAACAAACTCCTTGCCTGATCCAAAGATTTGGATATTTAATATGAAAGGTCAGTGTTTCTCCATAGAAGAAAATTTGTTCTAAGCACAATGGTATATTAAGAATGAAGCTACGTTATGCTGCAAGAAAACAATTTTTTGTCATCTTTTAATCAGTTTCTTTTTAAAAAGTCCGTTCCTCTATTTTTGCTTTTCCGCTAGGCAGCTGCAGAAGAACTCTGTTCTCTTCTTAGTCAAGTCTTCCAAGTTGTTTACACAGAGTCCACAATAGACTTTTTGGACAGAGCAATATTTGATGGTGCTTCTACCCCAACTAAGCACATGTCTATATACAGTGGTAAGTATTGCTTGTATATTAAACTGAATCCCCGTTTTTCCAGAACACCAATTAGCAACACTTTAACAAGTTATTAGAATTTTAGATCTGTTTTATTGAACATAATTTAAAATTCTGCATACTGGATCTTTTTGGTTCGAGATGAATTTATGCATGCTGAGCATTTCATAATGTCAAAATAGTATTTTGAATATCAAATTCCCAGTTCATTAATTTCAGAAATCTAATCCTGGTTGCTTTGCACAAATATTAAAATCGATGTTCCAGTTTTTGTGGCTAGATGAATTCGAGCTCAGTTGGGGTGCTGGATTTAAATTTTGAATTCACTTAACTTGTGGAAATGTGGATGAGGGAAAATACCAAAAAACATGCTCTTTGAGAAACCATGCAAACTTGTGCCACCCAGCCATTTTATAATGGCGGCATCTGGGATGAAAAAGAAGCTGTTCTTGGTGTATGTCATCCTGACAAGCAATTGAGATTTAGATGGTGCTTGCCAAAATGATACATCTGTAGACCTAATTTATCCCCAGTCTGATATTTTAGAGTAATTCATTCATCTGGCCTCCAGAAATAATATACCAGTGCTGACCCAAACAAGAACATGTATAACAAGTGTTTTTGGGCATCTCTAGCTACTTTATTCATCTTTCGCTGGAGCAAGCAGTCAATTATGTTGCCTTTTTTTTTCTGTTTGTAAAGGATTACCCAAAGGCCAGTTAAGAGTTGACCACATTGCTGTGGGTCTGGAGTCTCACGTAGGCGAGACTGGGTAACGATGGCAGATTTCCTTCCCTCCAGGACATTGAACCAGATGGGTCTTTATGATCCACAGTGTTACATGGTTGCCATTTGAATGCCATTTGATCAAGATTTTTATGCTTGCTTTAGTTCTGTTCGGAAAATGCTTTATCAGAAACTTTAATGTAATACATTTTATGGAGTACGGTTTGACTGTATACACACTTAACAAGTCAACTTCATTACCTTGTGGTCAATGCTGTTTTTTTGGTCATTTGGTTACACCCTTTATTCCATTGAATACCAAAAAGGCAAGTCAGAATCAACATTAAGGAACAGTCCAAGGTTATGTTAAAGTTTCCAACGCCATATCTTTATTGACTTTTGCTGTAGTTACATACTTTGAAGTTTTCTGCTTTTTGTTTTGCTACCATGCTGTATGTTGTTTCTATTGTTTTGAAGCTTTTAGGTCATGTTATTTCCCAGGATGTTTAGTTACTTTAAAATGATATTTATCTTTGTTTACCTATGGGCTTTGGAGGAGGGTGAAATCGGAGTTTTGCTGGTCCGGCATACCGTTCTAATGTGCAAATTCCAGCAGCAATTGCAATGAATGTTGGCATCCTTTGCATCAACAACCTTGGATTGGGAATCTGAAATCTAATTTTAGTACTTTCACCCCTGTTTTGGCTACCATTTATTGACATCAGATTGGCTTGTATTTCAGTATTGAACAAAGTAGCAAATTTGACTAGGGACCCAATAGAAAGCACGCAGCTACCTGAACTGAAAGGTTTTTCAATAATAATCCATACTTTTAATACAGTGGTCTTTTCAAGCCCAGCGTTATTGCATGTGTGTGCAGCCTTTTACACAGGATTTTGTACTGAAACTTAGTAAATTTAGAAAGCCTCTTTCTCATAAGTCATTGAGTTTGTGATCTCCTTTTGAACAGGGTAAGTTACTTTGATCTTTCACAATTCTTACTGCAGAGTTTGTTACAGCAGATATGAGTAGACTATTTGCTTATCACATCAGATCCAGAAGGTGGGATAAGTAGATGAGGTGAGAGACCTATAAACCTTCGAAGCATTTTTATAGAACACTTTTTAAAAAAATCTCTAATAATTAAAATCTAAAGGAATGAGGTTCCACAGTTGCATTAATTTTAAATGTCAGATGCTGTGTGACAGTACTTAAAATACTTTTTTTTTAACAAAAACTTTTTGCTCGAATGGATAAAGTCTAACTATTTCTGGTGGATCATTGTTTGTGTATCAGCATTCTTTCCTTTTGCACTATTCTCACTGCTGTCTCTGAGTAATGCAGTCTCCTCACCAGTGCAATCACAGTTTAGCATGGTCCAGCAATCGGTTAGAACTGGAAATCTTTAACAAAACCATTGCTGGAATCAGAATAAGTGGCTTTTGAAGAGGAGGTTGTTTTTACATTTAATGTAGCCATACTTCGTAAACTTGAACAAAGTTGTCAAGACTTTCACTCGTTTAAAATTTAAGCCTGCCCTTGCTGGCCATCCCCTGTTTCACTGGATTGACCGAACGTAATTTTAGAATTTTGCAGGAGGAGATAGTCATTTGGCCTATGATATTTGTCTGCTCAATGAAAGTCAGCCTTAATCCTGTGTTGCGCTTGTTCTTTTCCTCTGTTTTTTGTTTTCTTTTAATTTTTATTAAAATAGTATCATGGAATGACCTGTTCATTACTTGACACATATGCAGATATATTAGATCCTAATCCCTTTGCATTGAGGTTCAAGCCTGTTTATCTCTAGTTAAAAAATTCTCAATCTTTCAATGAAGAAATTAAGTTTCTTAAAGCTAAAATCTTGCATTTTAGTTCCAGTAAATGTACAGTCATAGAGTCATAGTTGTACAGCACAGAAACAGACCCTTCGGTCCAACTCATCCATTCCGACCAGATATCCGAAATAAATCTAGTCCCACTTGCCAGCACATGGCCCATATCCCTCCTAAACACTTCCTACTCCTACACCTGCCCACATGCCTTTCAAATGTTATTTTACCAGCCTCCTCCTCTTCCTCTGGCAGCTCGTTCCATACATTCTCCACCCTCTGCATGAAAACATTGCCCCTTAGGTCCCTTTTAAATCTTTCTCCTCTCACCCTCAACCTGTGCCATTTTAGTTTTGGACACCCCCAGCCTGGGGAAAAGACCTTGTCTATTCACCTTATCCATGCCCCTCATGACTTTATAAACCACTAAGGTCACCCCTCAGCCTCTGCTCCAGGGAAAATAGCCCGTCTATTCCGCCTCTTCCTATAGCTCAAACCCTCCAACCCTGGCAACATCCTTTGTAAATCACTTCTCAACCTTTTTCAAGTTTCACAACATCCCTACAGTAGGGAGACCAGAATTGCACATGATATTCCAAAAGTGGCCTAACCAGTGTCCTGGACAGCTGCAACATGACCTCCCAACTCCTATACTTCACGCACTGGCCAAGAAAAGCAAGCTTACCAAATGCCACCTTCACTGTCCTGTGTACCTTTGACTCCACTTCGAAGGAATTTGAGCCTACATTCCAAGGTCTCCTTATTCAGTAACACTCCCCCAGGATCTTGCCATTAAATGCAGAAGTTCTGCCCTAATATGCCTTTCTAAAATGCAGCACCTCACATTTAGACTCCGTCTGCCTCCTTGTCCCATTTGGCCCATGTGATCAAGATCCTGTTGTACTTGAAGGTAACCTTGCTATCCACTACACTCCAATTTTGGTGTCATCTGCAACATACCTCCTATGTTCGCATCCAAATCATTTATATAAATGACAAAAAACAGTAGACCCAGTACTGATCCTTGACACACTGCTGGTCACAGGTCTCCAGTTTGGAAAGCAACCCTCCACCATCACCCTTTGTTTTCTACCTTCAAGCCAGTTTTGTATCCAAATAGCTAGTTCTCCATGTATTCCATGTGACCTAACCTTGCTAACCAGTCTACCATGCTGAATCCTGTTGAATGCCTTACTGAAGCCCACAGATCACATCCACCACTCTGCCCTCATCAATCCTCTTTGTTACTTCTTAAAAACTCTAGTGAAACATGATTTCATGTGCACAAAACCATGTTGACTATCTCTAATCCATCCTTGCCTTTCTAAATATGTGGAAATACCGTTCCTCGGGATTCCCTCCAACTTGCTCACCAGCAATGTCAAGCTCACCGGTCTATAGCCCTGACTTTTTATTTTTAGTGGCACCATGTTAGCCAGCCTACAGTCTTCTGGCACTTCACCTGTGACTATTCATTGACACACATCTCAGCGAGGGGTCCAGCAATCCCTTCCCTAGCTTTCCAGAGTGTTCCAGGGTATACCTGATCAGGTCTTGTGGATTTATCCACCTTTATGCATTTTAAGACATCCGGCACCACTACCTCTAATGCGGACATTTTTTTGAAAATATCGCTATTTAGTTCTCCATGTTCTCTGGCTTCCATGTCCTCCGCAGTAAGCACTGATGCATAACTCACTTAATATCTTGTATCATCTCCTTGGTTCCACGCATAGGTGGCCTAGCTGACCTTTAAGGTTACCCTTTTGTCCTTAATGTATTTATAGAATCCCTTTGGATTCTCCTTAACCCTGTTTGCCAAAGCTATCTCACCCGCTTTTTGCCTTCCTGATTTCCCTCTATACTCCTACCAACATTATGCTCTTGTAGGGATTCACCCAATCCCCTCTGTCTGTATCTGATGTATGCTTCCTTCTTATTCTTAACCAAAACTTTAATTTCTGTAGTCATCCAGCATTCTCTACACCTACCAGCCTTGCCCTTCACCCTAACAAGAACATACTGTCTCTGGACTCTCATCATCTCATTTGTAGGCTTCCCATTTATTTTCCAGTCGTCCTTTTTACCTGTGAACATCTGCCCCGAATCAACTTTTGAAAGTTCTAGCCTAATGCTGTCAAAATTGGTCATCCTCCTTAGACCTTTAACTTTTAGATCCAGTCTATCACTATTTTTAAAACTCGTAGTTCTGGCAAGCAATGGAGTGGTAACTTGAGTTGAGCGGTTTTATGCTAATATTGTAATTGTGCCCCCTCTATTTGTCACTGAATCAGCCCCCTCAGCTGATAACCAATTCAGCAGCTGAACCTGTAACAAAAGGCGAGATAAGAAAGATATCTTGCCCTTGGTTTCTCTCTTTGGCTGTGGCCTAAAGCATTCTGCCATTGTTTTCGTTTTGTTGCAGAAACGTGTAGTGAGGCAAAAGTGATGACCAGTTTAATTGTGAAGTAACTATTTGACTGTAACAAAATAATAATCTTTACTACTTAAGCATTTTGAATGATCTTACTAATGTATACAGTATTCAACAGCTCATACAAAACAAAGATGAAAATTGTGTCCAATTTAAATGTAATCATTTTGTCCTTTTTAATTTTGGACTTGCTTCATGGATATTATGGCCAAGTAAAAAAGATTAAGCATTAATTATGTATTTACATCAAGGTTTGAACTTTATTTGATTTGCACTCAATTTAATGTATCTTTTGGAAACAGATGATTCGAGTAAAGCAGATGTTAAAGAGCAGTACGATGCAGAAATTAGTAACTTGTAAGTATTTTCCATAATGTAGCTCTCTATGACCACCTGCATGTTATGTGAACCTAGTCTTTTTGTATTAAGTATATCTGTTATTGATTAATGGACTACATGGCCTGAGTTCAACCAGACACAATGAGAAATAGTCAATTAAGTTCATGCTGTGTCACCCGTTCCTTTTCCTGAATAGAAGACATGAGGTAGTAAAATTTTATCGGACACTTTGTGCAACCAGAGTTACTGTCAACTGTTGGTCACTATAAAGGTCTGTGTTTTCTCTAGAAAATATGTAAGGCAGTTTGGCTTGCAAGCTAAGTTTGCTGGAATGTAGAATGCCCTTTTTTATTTGGCTTCCAAATCTTCCTTTAAAACTTAGTCAGTTACATAGCCTCCCAACTAATGACCTGAAGTTCATTTGCTATTCGATGTTCCATAATTTATGCTAGGGGGTCTAGTTCAACTTAATTGAACATGAATTGTGATTGTTCATCCATATCTTTTTTTTTTAAAAAAAGATTATGTACAAGATAATTCTTTAAATATGAATCTGGATCCCCTCAAATGCAGAATATCGATCCTTCAGATACAGGGCCCAAAACTGCTTGCAATACCAAATGTTGTCTGACCAGACCTTTTATATAGCCTCAGCACATTTTCTGCTGCTGTATTCTAGACTTCTTTAAATAAGTATGCCCTAACTACCTGCTGTGGATCTGGTTTGAGAGCTGGGCTATACTACCTTATACATAAAACACCACAACCAGCTTCTTAATGCACCTGCTCAATCCTCTTGAAAGCCCTCAAAATCATCAACTGACAATACGCTTGAAAGTGTGCGTGTGCTGGAAGGTGATACAATTGCTGTTGCTCCAAAGGAGTGGTGTTTTTTTTAAATGCATATTTCACTTCTGGAGCCTGTTCTGCCATTCAGTGAGATTATAGTTAAAATGTCACCTAACTCCACATAATTACTTGTGCGCTATCTCCCTTTTAAAGCTTGAGTTAATAGAAATATGCCGATCTCAGATTTGAAATCGATAGTCGACCAAACATCAATTGCTGCTGTCTGAGCTCCAGGCTTCTACCAGTCCTTGAATGCCAGAGTGTTCCTAACAGTTTCTAAGCTGGAGGAAGACTTGGTTTCCCCTAAGGGTTGACACCAGGTCTGTTCTTGACTGCTAAATAAGATAAAAGCCCATGGTGTTAGGGGCAATGTATTGGCATGGAGAGAGGATTGGCTGACTGGCAGAAGGGAGTGAGTGGGAATAAAAGGGCCTTTTTCAGGATGGCAGCCAGTGACTGGTGGAGTTCCACAGAGGTCACTGTTAGGACCACAGCTATTCATGTTTTTCATTAATTTGGATGAAGGAACTAAGGGCAAATGTTGCTGTCTTGGTGAGTGACCTGAAGGTAAGTGGAGGGACAAATGATGTTGAGGAAGCCGGAGGCTGTAGAAGGACTCTGAAAGGCTGAGAGTGGGCAGAGAAGTGGTAAATGGAATACAATGTGGGAAAGTGAAATAATGCACATTGGTAGGAAGAATAGAGGCATAGACTATTTTCTAAACCGAGAAATGCTTTGGAAATCTGAAGCACGGAGACTTTGGAGTCTTAATGTAGGATTCTCTTAAGGTTAACATGCAGGTTCAGTTAGTTAGGAAGGCAACTGCAACGTTAACATTCACTTCAAGATTGCAAGAGTGGATAATTGCTGCTGAGGTTGTACAAAGTTCTGGTTAGACTGCATTTGGAATATTGTGGGAAATTTAGAGCGTGTTTCTAAGGAAACATGCTGGCATTTGAAGGAATCCAGAGGAAGCTTTCAAAAATGATTCCAGGGATGTAGAGCTTGTCATGAGGAGCGATTGAGGACTCTGGGCCTGTACTTAACGCAGATTACAAGGATGGGATGGGGAGAATCTGATTGAAACTTATGGAATTGAGAAGCCTGGATAAAGTGGATGTGAAGAAGAAATTCTCCCTAGTAGGAGAGACTAGAACCTGAGGGTATGGCCAGAGTGAAAGGATGATGCTTTAGAAATGAAATAGGATGAATTTCTTCAGCATGGTGAATCCTGCTATATTGACTTGACCTCTTAAGTCCTTTTGAGCCTATTAAAGTTAAATAGCACTTTGCACAGTAAGGGGATCAAGGATTACAGGGAACAGGCAGAAGAGTGGGTTGAGAAATGCATCAGCCATGATCAAATGGTGGAGCAGTCTTGAAGGGTCGAATGACCCAATTTCGCTTATGTTTTATGGTCTTTTGTAGGACTAGAATTTTAAATGTTATGTTGCATAGAGGCTCTTTGATTGTATCTCGTTGCTCATTAGCTGATCTAGATTAACTTGCATGCTTGGCTTGAAAACCTACTGCTCGAGGAAATTTCTTCTCCAGCGCTTTATTGCATCATTTATGCTGTCCTAAAGTATAACTACTGTTAGGGGACTTGTAAGGTATGCATGATCTTTTATCTCTTTTTTTTAATTTTTTTTTATCTTTTTTTATCTTCTTTTTTTATCTCTCATTTTTTTATCCTTTTTTTATCTTTTTCTCTCTCGCGCACTCTATCCTGATTCTACATTCATTCCTTCAGGAAGTCAGCGCTGAACTGAACCTCTTTTTAAGTAACCGAACTACCCCACCATGCTTTTCCTAGCTAAACATTCCAATACATCAAATGCCATTCATTCAGATGCCAACGTTGGTCACCTCAGCCATGACAGTTGATTCTGTAGGAGAATGGGAAAGCATGATGGGTGGAATTTGCTAGGGTTGAGGTGTTGCATTTTGCCAGAAGCGCAAGGGAGAAGAAATGTAGACTTAATGGCACATCGTGCAGAAACAGGGCAATGTATATTTAATGTGCATAGGTCTTTTAAAAGATGGCAGGAAATATTTGAGTAGAGACATGGAGTACAAAGCAAGGAATTATACTGAATCCTGATGAAAGCTAGAATCCTAAGGCGAAAGCTAGAGATTTCCATCTGGCTTTTGTCATGTGTTAGGAAGACTATAAATGTTCTTGGGAGGGAGCAGGGGAGCTGTAACGAAATTGTTCCAGGGAGAGGGACTATGGTCAGAGAAATTCACATTTGTTTAAACAGAAGAGGTTGGAGGGAGTTTGTGTGCGCAAGATTGACTTGTTGAGATGAAGTAGACAAAAATTGTTCCTATTAGTTGATGGTAGATGCACTTTGGGGGCACAGACTTCTGAGCAACAAAAGTAGTGAGGATGTGAATAACTGTGTGGTGAGTTGTAATGACCTTAGACCTCTGCCTACATCGTGGAGCCAGACGCGGTTTCCAAGGAAATAAAATTCCACTGTCCGAGTAGGGGAATAGGACTGGCTGCATTGCTCAACAGAGAACTGACATAATATTGATGGATCATAAAGTCCCCTTCTCTACTGTAATAACTGGTCTCAACTGGAGTTTTGCATTGAATTCTGACACCCAACATTGAAGTAGAATATGAAAACTGAAGATTGTAGGGGAAAAAAGCCTTCTAGAGATGAAGGACTTCAATTAAGTAGAATGGAAAAGCTGAGCTTACTTAAGTTCAGAGGAGATTTGTTACGTGTACTCAAAATCATAGAATTTTGTATAGTAGATAAAGCAAAACTGTTCCCACTGTCAGAAATGTTGAACATTTAGGAATGTTGATTGTGCTGAATAGCAAAATAACCAAAGATGACTTGAGGAAAACCATTTCTGTGCAGCCAGTGGAATGCATTGTGTGTGGTGGGAGCAGATTCACTTATGACTTGAGAAGTAATAAACACTTGAAATTTGTGGGGCTATTGTTTTAGTAATAGTGACAGCATGGAAAGTGAAAAGCGGGAACTAAAGTTCCTGCTTAAATTAGACGGGAGGGCAAGCAGTATCAAAAGGATGCCAAAAAACATTTTGCTCTTAATTCGGTGTTCACCTATAAGGTGGCTGCAAGTTGGGCTAAATGAACATGGGACAAGTTTTTGGCAAAAAAGAGCCAAAGGCAATAATGTTTCAAAGCATTGTTCAGCAGCTACAGAAATCTGTTAATTCTAAGCAAACTAATTGGATAGAGTTTGCACACTTTTTTTTTTCATAAAGGCAGTTCTCATTCTTGGCCTTCTGAAACTGAGACTTAAAAATAATTTTTGTGAATGAAATTCTCCACAGCCTGTGCCTGTATACACTTGTTTAATCTAGAATTGTCTTCCTTCATAACAATCCCCCACAAAGGGCTAATAAGGCTAGAGAATGTAGAGTGAGGAACAAGTGACAATGGATGAGCTAGCAAGAACTACAGATGCTGGAGTCAGCGATTAACAAGGTGTGGGGCTGGAAGAACACAGAAGGCCAGGCAGCATCGGAGGAACAGGAAAGCTGACGTCTCACTAAAGGTGTGCCATAAGTTAGCAAGGCCATTTGAACAAAAGCAAGCCAAGCAATGAGCTTCATCCTGTGCAATTCTAATCACCATAAAATAAAAAGAATGTAGAGACACTGCCATGGATGCAGAGAAGATTTTCAATGATGGGTGTTTATATTTATTGAGACAGGATCAACAGGCAAGATTTGATGGGAGCAGTGGGCTGATCTCGGGTATTTAAAATTATGAATGACTTTCTTTGTACATAGAGAAGATCTTGCCTTTTGTGGGAAATAGCTAGATGGCCTCCTAGTTTTGCCAAGAAAGCCAAAAGAACTGTGGATGCTGTAAATCAGGAACGAAGACAGAAGTTGCTGGAAAAGGTCTGGCAGCATCTGTGAAGAAAAAAAATCAAAGTTCATATTTCAGGTCCGGTGACCCTTCTTCAGACCTGATGGTGGCTGGGAAAATGTCAGTTTATATGTAGAAAAAAGGGAGCGGGGTGGAGTGGGGAGTAAACGATAGGATAGAGCCTGAAGACAGAAGAGCAGTTGGATAGACAAGAAACTTGATAATGATCAGGCTGGGAGGGTGAACAGGTGGTGTGTGGGGTAGGGGGCTGAGACATGGGAAAGTTTAGGCCCTAAAATTATTGAATTCGATAAGGAGTCCGGAGGGCTGCAGGGTCCCCAAGCGGAAAATGAGGTGGTGTTCTTCCAGCTTGCGTTGAGCTTCACTGGAACATTGCAGCAAGCCAGAGACACAGATGTTGGCTAGGGAACAGGGTGGTGTGTTAAAGTGGCAGGCACCAGATAGTTTGTGGTCTTTTTTGCGAGCAGAACGTAGATGTTCCGCTAAGTGTTCACCTAGTCTACGCTTTGTTTCCCCAATGTAGAGGAGACCACATTGTGAGCAGCGACTGCAGTAGGCGAAGAAAGCCATTGAGGAACCCAAATGGAAATTTGTAATCCACTAGCCAAGTGTAGTGAGACTTTGGAACTTGCTACCACAGAATGGTTGTGCATAGTATACATGGATGTTTAGGGAAACCTGGTCAAGGATGAAAGAGGCAAGCATAGTTTGTTATGGTAAATTTAAATCAGAATGATTCATATGGAACATTGGCCTGTTTCTATACAATTTTGTGAAATTGTATGTAATTGTGTACTCTATGGAGATTTGCTTATCATTAAATGTCTAATTTTGATAATCAGATGCATTTCATAAAGCAAAACTGAATCCATTGTTTGTAGCTTTTGATTGAAGCTCATTCTTCTTGACTGTTTAGGCCTCTCTTTTTACAAGTTTCTTTTTGTTCACTCAGGTCTTATCAGGGTTCAGATACAGGAGGAAATTCACCATCCTCAACTCTACCATCGCCTCCGATCAAAAATGTTAGTGACAGTGAGCTCAGTACTTCTGCAGCTGAATTGCTTCAGGATTACATGATGACAGTAAGTTGCTGCTCATGGTGTCAAAACAAGCATTTCTTAGTTTCTGATTACAGCGAATTAAAATGAAAATATTTGTACTGTTTCTTTCTGAAAGTATTGTTTTTTCTGGTAGTGGTTTATATAATTGCCTACTATTTAAGGCCAATGGATTTAAAGTATTCTTGGTTCATCCTGTAATATGTCCAGCAGAAAAGAGAGCTGTGTATGCTAAATTCATGGATGTTTACATAATCCTGAAAACATGAAGGTGTAGAGACCGGTGACGTGAACCCTTTCAGTTTAAAAGAATATTTTCAAACACTTTTTTTTTCAAACCAAAGATCCTTTTTGGCTATCATTCTAGATTATAACTTCATTTCTGTTTGGTAATGCATTAAA